CTGTCTGTGTTTCCTGTCTGCTTTCAGGAAAGCCCAGTCAGGATAATCACACTGCTCCAGGGCCTGTCGTGTGTGTGATTTCTAAGAAGAAGTCTCTCGGAGAAGAGACTAAACATTTCATTAGAGAAGAACCCGTCCAGAAGACCTACACAATTTTTTTCTTTTTGATTTTTTACCTGGATTACTGAGATGCATCAGGACATTAAGGCATTTTAGCTCAAAATCTTTTATTTTTTTGGTTGCTACAGCTTAAAACAGTAATTAAAAAAGGTTTTAGGATTATATTTGAGACAGTTCATGTAACACACAACTTAGGACTCGGTTTGATGTGATGGGTCACATATTAATGTGGAAGAATTCCAAAAATGTCATAACAAGTTGGTAATCTTTGAATTTATCTCACAGATTGTGTGAGTCTATCAAAGAGTTTGTCACTATGTAACATCTCAATAAGGCCAGAATTCTTTTTAGTAAGTTGAAATAAGATGTTTAGGTTTCTCTTTTTGTTAGTATTAGAAAAAAATAGTAAAACATTGACWCATGCCTGATTGAGCTTTAAATTTCACATTGTGACGTTTGTTTCTGACCTTTTAAAGGATTACGTACAGACACCTAAAATCATTCAAACTGTAGTCCAATAAAACGTTTGTCCAGTCATCGTAGGGTTTGTCGTTTCTCTGCAGACTGTCCGGGGAAGAAGTGGGGTCCTAACTGTGACAGGGACTGCTCAGACTGCCTGAACGGTGGAGTTTGTCACGATTTGGATGGGGACTGTGTCTGCCCGCCGGGATTCATGGGAACACGCTGTGAGATAGGTTTGTACTGTCGTTTGAGATTCTTTCAAGTGAYGTTTGACTCCTTGTTTGTCTGTAAACCAAGTGAAAACACTGTTTAATAGATACAGATAGTAACAGAAAATAGATATGTTATGACACATCTTGAGCATTTTGTGAAAAGATCAACAGCTGCTGACAGAATCTTGAAATTGATGTTTCACAAGGTAKTTAACCGCCCCTGGCACATTTCCAATTTGTGGTTACTTTTTGTAGTTTATTTAGTTTATTTATTTCTTCATCATCAGTGACTTTTTTAAGTGAAGAGAAAATAGAGACAGAGAAAAAAACAGAGAGAGAAGTGATTAGAAAGATAGAAAGATTGAAATAGCGATTAGAAGTATATTAAATATACACCAACAAAACACAGGACCACACACCCAACATCTGTCCGCTCACCTGAAAAATAAGTGGATAAATACATGGAGGGCATATATAAATATATACACATACCCATACATATATAAAGATATACATACATACATGCCTACATTCATAAATATTGTCAGTATATACACACAGACATATATACACACTCAGTGACCAGTCAGAACCCCCGGATCAGAACACCTGTTTGTGAGCAGTTGTGAACATGCGTGTATATACAAGATTTCTCCARTGGAATATTTAATAGTGACTGTGGAGGACCGAAGACCCAACCACCAAGACACGAGGCAGACATAGGGAAGACCAGAGCTCAAGGGCCCGAGAGGGATCCCGAGCGCAGAGCCCCAAGGGGCACCCGCACAGGAAGATCCGCCCACCCACTCCCCAGATCAGACCATTGGGGAGAACTGGGAGAGTCCACCCAGCGACCACACGCACAGCCCCCGGGGCCAGCAGCGACAAACTCATGGGTCCCACCGGCACCCGCCATACCAGAGCAGATCCAGGAAAGAGCACAGAGGTCCGGGCCCCCAGGGCTCATCCCCTCCAGGCCAAAGCCCGACAGGTTCAGAGGCCCCGAGGCCCAGCAGGCAGTCACCAGGCCAGGCTGGCACACACCCCAGCACACAGCCCCAGACTCCGGGAACCCCAGCACGCCGGCGGCCAGGCGCACACCCCACCGGGGGGCTGAGTAGCAGCAGGTCCCCAGATAAACCAGCAGTAGGGGCAGCCCAGACCGCAGCCTGACAAATACCCAAACATACACAATCGCACCATCCCACCCTCATCCTCACCCCCACTCAATCAAAGACATACAAGGACGCCACATTCCACTCATACCCCCGATACACACTCTATACCCCCCAGGTCCAGGACATGCATCCACCCCCTTTTGGAGGCACCACACACCCGAACCCAGGAGGTAGACCCAATCATTCTGGTTACTTCCTGCGTCTTTATAGCCCGACCCTCGCTACCAGGGACTTTGAATTTGCATAATATGCTGTTCAAACAATTGAATTGGTTGTCTTACTTTAATTGATACCTCTCTTGACCAACTGGGTTCATATAGACTCTCCAGAGCACAATATGTGTGACAAGCCCCTCATGTCCCACCAGAACGTGGTACACGTGATTGATTGACTAGCCAATCATCTCTGAGCTTCATTCTGACACCACAGCTGTATAACCAATTGAGTTACCTTTTGTTTGATATGCAACTTTGGAACTAAAAATAAATAAATAAATAATGGTTTCAGGGTATTTTAACTTCACTAAACTGAAGTGAAAATTTCAGATTGATAGCTTTACAAAGAGACCATGGGCTTGTGAATTTACTCCGAAGGGTTCAAGAGAAGCACTTGAATTTAGGTTAGGGTTAGACCCGCAGGTGAACCAGGTAAAACTTGATGCAGCAAAATAAAAAAAATAAAAAATAAACAAATAAATCAACAAATAAGCATGTTTCTCCCTGTGATGGAGAACAGCCTGCAGAGAAGGAATGTTTGGTCGCAACTGCCAGGAGTCGTGTGGCTCCGGGCTGGACAACAACTGCAAGGGGCTTCGCTTCTGCCTTCCGGACCCGTACGGTTGTTCCTGTGCCACCGGCTGGTTTGGAAGACACTGTGAAAAGGGTTTGCTCAACTCTTTTTAAAATTTTTTACATCTTTAGGGTAGTCCAATTAGATGTTTTTACGTTTAATCCCAAGTTTTATTTGTTTCCAGCGTGCCATCATGACATGTATGGACCAGACTGCAGGCTGAGCTGTAAATGCCAAAACGGAGGGGTCTGCCACCGTTTCAGTGGATGTCAGTGTCCTACTGGGTGGAGAGGACAGAACTGTGAAAAATCAGGTAGGAATCATAAAATCACCTACACTAGTGAAAATGATCCATCTGACCAAGTCTTACAATCTTACATTCAGACAAAAAGTATTGTTGATTTTTTGAGACGGATAAGCATGAGCAGCCTGTGTTAGATTATTAATCTTGCTGGAAGGTCAGGGATTGAATGTTTAGTGCTAATAAAAGTTAAGTTTAGGGTTTGGGGTAACCTTGATTCCTAAACTTAACCATGGACCCCCAACCCAAAGACCATATCCGACGCGTCCATACTGGACACAGAGGGAACCTGACCAAACGTGAGTGAGAACRTGCTGTAATTTGTCAAGATTCAGACTATAATTTATTGGTTTCTTGAGATTGTTATTTTATTTGCAATTCCAGAATCCTTTACAGCAAATACAGCAATTTTAGTTTCATGTAGTTAAACCAATATTTCTCATTTATGAGGTTTTAAACAGCCTTACAACAAATAGAAGCATTTGTTGGTTTATTAACACCAACCTTTTAAAAATGGAAGTTTTAAAAATGAAATGACTTTCTTGCTATAGYCTAAAATTTGCTCAAAATGTCCCTGTTCTGCAAATAAAACAAAATTTGCGGCACATCTAACTAAAAAAAAAATCTGACGTTTTGAAATGTGCTATTTGGAAATGTTGCAGCTCATTATTTTGATTTTCATCTTTTGCACAACAGTTTTTTTTTCTATCTCTCTCTCTCTCTCTGTTGTGCTTCTGGCCTTCCACAGACCGGGCTCCTCAGATTTTGGACCTGGATTGTAACCTGGAGTGGAATTTGAATTCCAGCCCTAAGATCAAATGTTCAGCCACAGGCAACCCTTTGCCCAGTCACAACAGCATCGAGCTGCGAAAGCTGGACAGTACCGTGCTCAAGGTACAAAGACCAGACTTTGTCAACAGCAACTTATAAAATGACTGTTAGTGAACTTGAAATAAAATAAATCACATGCATTAATGAGGCTGTTCCACAGATCCATTTCACAAAATGCTTAAATGTTTATTATAGTCCCTGCATAGAATATTTGTACTGCCAATCAAGAATTGGGTTATTTGATTAATTTTTTTAATCAACCAATTATTTATCTAGTTTTTACATGGTTCATCATTTTGTGAGCTATGTGGCTGTTCTGTTCTACAATATTTTGGGGARGAAAACAATGACAAATTTTATTATTTAAGGGGTGGGGGGTATATTTCAGGCACATAGTTCAGTTCTATACCAAAATCAAGCAACTGCGTTACCTTCAGTTGTTATGAAAATGTTGTGTGTGTGTGTATATATATATATATATATATATATATATATATATATATATATATATATCAATCAAAAATTAAGGTGACTTTGCATAATAGCTTTCTAAACACCTTGAAATTGTCCTCTGTCTCTTTAAGTACCTCCTACCATTTCCGACACTCCCACTTCAGCTCGTCCTCACAAAAATGCTTCATGTCATTTACAACCTTTTGTAGGAGAAAAGTCCAACCATTTTTGCYACTCCATGTCATCCTCAGGGATTGTAAAACAAGGGTAGTCTCCTTCTTGGCATCCAAAGCGCCAGGGAGGAGCTTTGTGTAAATAGGCGGAGCTTTGTATGAACAARCATTTAGGCAGCTCCAAATAGCTACCACAGGAGATTCAAGGATTTCACAAACATGCATAAATGAGTCAACGCAACACTCTGGGTATGTTTTTTGATGAGGGAATGACATTATAACATGATATAAAGCTCTACGTGTTTGGGCCAAAGTCTGACCCAGAGCRRGAGGAAAATAAAGACGACAAARCTGTAGTTTGTAAGTCCAGACATTATTTAGAAGTTTYGTCAMAAAAACTGTGATGCAATAGCTTAGAAAACGTGATAGGATATAGAGAAAAGTGAAAGGGTTGAAAAATATGACAARCAGAATATAAAGATACTGTAGCTATGCAGCACCAGRAAAAACTCTAAATGTCTGCACTTCTAGACACTCCAAGTACACAACAAAATGTRTTTAATGGCTAAAGTGGGGGAAACAGCTTAGAGAAAATATAAACCAAATCAAATCAGCTTTTGGACGATAAGATACAAGGAAAAAATGCTCAATTGAGCTATGCCTTTAAGTCTATACTGGTGATTACAAGGTTTAGTCACATTTGGAGGAAGTCGACACACAGTGGTCCGACCTGATAAGGCTGTATCGCTCCACACAGCAGCAGTCACTATGTCCTGCCRTAAAGTGATATGTTCAATCTTTGTGTTTCTTTCTCTTCTGTTTCCTCAATAATAAAAACAATCTGATGAATTATCAGACCATCATTTCCCACAGGAACACAGATCTTTCTCAAAGGAAAGGTTTTCTTGAGGGAAATTCAGGCAGCATAAACGAACATTGGGTATAAAAATGTGGTTTTCTGCCCCGTTTTTCCTCACGTTGATATTCTACTCTTAAGGCCTCCAAAACCATCATGGAATCAAATATCAGCACGGCTATGTTTGAGATCCCTCGCCTGAGCACTCAGCAAGGGGGATTGTGGGAGTGCAGGGTGTCCACTAACGGAGGCCAGGACTCCCGCAAGTTCAATCTCACCGTCAAAGGTCTGAGTGGGATACTTGTGTTGTGCAACAATTCAAATGATGTCGTTTCTYAGATGTGATTGCACAAACGGTAATTTATTCTTTCCACACAGAGCCCCCTGTACCCACTACCTCTCCAGAATTGCTTACAAAGAGCAGCAAGCAGCTGGTGGTACGGCCAATAAGGTCCCACAGAGGAGACGGCCCCATAATCTCAACCAAAATTCTCTACAGGCCAGTGAAGAACAAGGGATCTTGGTCCTCCATCATAGGTAAACAGAGAAAAACATGATCATGTTGYCAGAAGATTAGTGTTTTCACTTTATTTGATTGCTCAACAAAAGAAGAAAAACTCAGTTGTAAAGGCTGTAAAGTGGCTGAAGCAGGAGTCTTCAGGACAAAATGAAACATGTATACAGTACAGATGGYCTACATTAAAATAAAATCTATTTGTAAATAAAAAATGTTTAGCTTTTAGTTCATTTTTTCACATGTTCTTCTAGTTTATAGCAATAAAGAGCCCATCACGCTGGTGAACCTGGAGCCCTCCACACAGTACCAAGTTCAGGTCCAGCTGAGTCGACCTGGAGAGGGAGGAGAGGGGGCCGCTGGACCAGTGGAGATCATGGAGACGGGCTGTCCCGGTAAGACTAGCTGTACTGTCAGGTTTAGAAAGTCTAAACATCAGGGGTGGRTGTATCGATCCAAGCCCACACTTTATTTGCATTACTGACTTTATTTTTCACAAATAAAATGAAAAACTAGAAGCACTCGGAAAGTGCAAACCTCCTGCAAGACCAATTTCCATCATCCTGTAATAGAGTTACAAAGGGGCACACCAATACTACAGTGCCACCTGCTGGACACTTTGAAACCCACGCCCTGTGAAAGCATCACAGCTTTGCCGATCTCAGAGTGTTAAAAGAAAAAAAATTTCTGTATCCGCATCGTGATCCGGAACTTCACCAAAATGTAAAGGTGTGTTCCTTGGCCCAGTACCCACATGTGGTAAAAATTTCATGACAATCTGTCCACAAGTTTTTGAGTAATGTTGTCCACAGACAGAACGACAGAATGACAGACAGATGGACAGAAAGACGGACAGACAGACATACGCGACCGAAAACAATACCTCGCCCTTGGTGGAGGTAATAAAGTCAGTAATGCAGAGTTTCCCAATTGTCTGACGGTAGTCAAACAAACCACCGCTGACCCACCTCTGTCAGTGGCACCCCAGGGCAGTTGTGGCTGTAGCTTACCACCATCATTGTGTGAATGGGTGTAGTGTAAAGTACTTTGGGGTCCGACTGGGCTTGATGAAGCGCTATATAAGTTCAGGCCATTTACCATTTAGTCATTAGTCCTCTACATCAGTGGTTTCCAAGGTTGGGGTCAAGGCCCAACTGTAAGTCATGAAGCATCAAGTTAGGGTGCTTGGATAATCTCCAAAGATCAAATCAAAGGTAAAAGATTGGTGATGTAATATTTTTCTTATAATTAGTACAAAAAACATAGAATAACCATAAAAAGTAAAAAAATAGTATTGAAGTAAAAACTGTTTGTATTGTCACTAAGCCCTTGTTTAAAAGGATTATTGACAACGTTTGAGCACTCAGACCAGTACTATTTACAGCACCTTATGAATAAATTAGTATTATTACAGCACCTTGTGAATATATTTCTGTGAAATGCGCTTTATGAATAAAACTATACTTAACTTACTTACTTACWATTTGGGGTCACAAGTCTTTGCCGTGGATATTTTGTGGGTCAGACGGTAAAAAGTTTAGGAACCAATGCTCTACATCATGCACATTAGCTTGTTGCATCTTACATTGTTGCAACTTCCTAGTGACTTTTTTAATAGTGTGTAGTAGACGGTGATAGGGAAATTAGTTTAACACTAAAATTTTTATTAATTTTTTTATCATGATCGGCTAATTAAAGGCAAAATAGGGTAATTATTTAATAAACTTGACAAGCATCAGTATTGGAATTGGCAAAACCAGCCCTGAATTCAAGGGTGTAACTTTAGGTTTACCATTGGGGGGTTATGCTCTAAAACCCTGCATGTCATTTTCAGCAATTATGCTTAAACGTACATTTATGACATCGTAAATTTAGAAATCAGTCAACATTACCTAAAGACAACAAGAGAGTTTCATTTGAGTACTTGACCACTTAATTTCTGTTGTGTTTGAGCAAATTATGTCATTTCATTGGGGTGGTTATATTCACTGGATGAARTTGTTGTGGGAGTCCCCCCCACCCCCCACACACACACACAAATTATGCCTATGCCTGTATTTACCTGGTATCGGATCAATGCCAAAATTCCTTGTAGCGCCCACCCCTACCACACATGTAATGGGCATTTTATTTATTTGCCAAAGGACAGAGAGGCAACAATTCATATGTGATTGTGGTGCAGACAGACACAACATGTGGTAAGAGCACGGATGCAAGAAAAATAAAATAGAATGCCGTTTTACAAAGCGCATGGAGGGAAACACATCCCATCTTTAGTAAATTCTTTGRTTCCTGTGTGAAATTGACTCATTAGAGGACATTTGACATCCATCTGTTATTGTTGCTAAGAAATGGCCCGATTGCAGAGGCAACAGGTTTTGGGGTCTGGCCCAGAGTCTCTTCCCAGTAAACTAAAAAAAATAATAAATAAATAAAAAACCCAGATGGCAGAGTCCAGGAGACATTCTATACTCCTGAACCACATTAATTCACCCTTTTTAAAGCAAAGGAGGAAATGATTCACCTACGTTTAGAAACTGAGAGAGAAATGAAAGTGAGAAACAAGAAGTCTGTGTGCTATCTGTGAGTTAAGTGTTAATTAGTGCTGCAGCTGAAAGTTAGGGCTTATGAATTAATAATAAGAGAAAACTTCCAGCACTGTTCCGAATCATTTCTGAGGTCTGAATTAATAAAGAGAAATGCAAATGGAGCTGATCCCTTTTTAGTTCATGCTGTCTATTCTGCTTCAGAGCCCACGACTGAACCTGAGATTGACATTCACTCAGTGGAGGGTCGGAACGCAACCGTGAGCTGGAGACTGCCCACCGCCAGCGGCGTCACCCCGGATATGGCAACTACGTTTTTAGTGCAGCTCTTCAAACCCCCCAGTAAGGAGAAACTGTTGGAGACGACCACCAAGATCAACGTGCTCTCTACTAAATTCCACAACCTGGAGTATTATCAAGACTATTCTGTGGAGGTGCGCCTCGTTAACTGTGACAGTCTGGGCCCACCTTCAAAACCCTACGTCTTCCGGATCAGCAGCCATGGTAACTAAGATCTCTAATGAGTGTTGAGCTCCTAATAATATTTTATTTAGAGCAAATCTGTTGAGGGCCTTTGGTTTGCTTAATAAAAAAGAGTATAACAGAATAACCAGTCTTGGATAAAGTACCTCAAAATGATACTTGAGTAAAAGTACAAAAACACTATGGTAAAAACTAAAGTCTTCTTAAGCAGGGATGCCAAACTCTTTTTCACCGAGGGCCACATGAGTGTTATGGCGGCCCTCAAACGACCAGTTGTAATTAACTTTGATGTTTCATGTTTAACTTCGACTAAACACAAAACGTTACATTCCTCGTCTCATTGCTATGGCTGAGCACTGCTTACAAATAATAACCGAGCTCTACTGAAAAGTACTGCTTGTATGACTGACTAAATGTGAAATAAATAACACTGAAATACTATAAAAATAAAGGTAAGAGAGTTTTACTCATAAAGTCCTGATGCATCTCAGTAATCCAGGTAAAAAATCAAAAAGAAAAAAATTGTATAGGTCTTCTGGACGGGTTCTTCTCTAATGAAACGTTTCGTCTCTCCTCCAAGAGACTTCTTCAGTCTGAGAGTTTCAGGCAAAATTCAGGCTTTTAAGCCCTGCCTCCATGTGACTGATACTCACATCACATGGCTATCGTTGACACCTAATTAACACCTATTGTTAACAGGGGGTGGAGTGATACTGGCAATAGCAGCACTGTAGGAGGGGGACAACAGAAAACGGAGGCCTCCACCTCTGTTTAATGATGGACGGTCTTTCTTCACAAAAATGGCTTCTTTTACTCCTCTCTCAAACCAACGTTCCTCTCTTTTTACTCATAAAGGTTTTAATCATAAAATTAAGGTTTACCATTGATACAAATAAGTTTAAGTAAAAAATAGTAGCGTTGTTGGTGTTGGTGTGTGTGTGGGGGGGGTGGGGCTTGGCTGCCCTTGAATTTGACATGTGTCTATAAAGTGCCTGTGACGTCAAATTTTTGTCATATTGAGAATGCATTTTTGGAAAAATAACATTGATGACATATTACAAAACAAATTTCACGTCGCTGAGATGAACAGATGTTGAGATATTTACATGTGAAGAAACAGGAAGTGATATCAAAGGGGAATGTCAGCATGTAAACAGAGCGTCATTACAAAAGCTAACAACASAGACTAGAGACAAATTTGATGTTTCTTTAGATTATTTTTAGTCGCTATCAAATAGAGACCAAGAAGAGTTAAAGTTTAAAAAAAATGTTTTAATAAACAGAGACCAGCGAGTTTATTTATTAAATAGTTCCCCTTTGATGTCACTTCCTGTTTCACTTTGGCTGACCCAAATTCAAAAGAAAATAGGCCAGTTATGTGACAAAATGGGTAAAATCATGTGTACTATGCCAATTTTCTTAAGTATAAAGATGCTTTCTTTGACTTTTTGTATCTGAAGGATGTCACAGGCACTGTAAGTATCTGACATTTACTGTATATACTGTAAATTTCTAATATAAAATGTACTTCAGAATTAAAAGTATTAAGTAAAAGTGAGTATTTAGAATAAAAAAATGACATTTATTGGGAGATGATCTCTCCAGAAAAAGCCATTTTTCTAAAGGCCATAATGACTATAATGTTATATTAAAATTGCAGTGTTGAAAAATTTGGGATTCAGTGGGCTTCCTGTTGGGTTACATATACGTCTAAATGTGTGTTTGTTTATTTATTTATTTATTTATTTATTTATTTATTTATTTAATATTATTACATACTGTATTTTGCTGGGGTTTGGAGCGGTTTTAGTCATGTTCAGGCATGATGGATTGCGGACAAAGTAATAGGGTGTTGGAATAGTAAAGTGCTATACTTTTCATACAACCACAATTAAATTCACTCTATCCATATAACCATAAATGGGCTTTTATTTTTTTAATATAACAAGCTGGAATAAAAGAAGCCAAAACGAATTAGGAGTAACAACCTTCTACTTGTTACACTTTTAAAATATAAGGAGTAGAAGTAAAAAATTTGGCTGAAAAAAATGAATGAAGTGACGTATAGATCACCAAAATGTCTACTTAAGTAAAGTTTGTTACTTTACAACTCTGAGGATAACCTTGTTGGTGTGTTTCTGTGTCTCAGGCCCGTCATCACCACAGAACGTTCAGCTTGTGTCCCTGTCCACCTCAGCTATCCAGGTGAGCTGGMAACCCCCCAAAGACCCAAACGGAGGCATAATTAAATACACCATAGAATACCAGCCTGTGGGCCAGGGGAGCCCYCACCACTGGGTGGACGTAAACGACTGGAACGTTACCACCAAAGATGTGACAGGGCTCAACAGCAGCACCCGGTACCAGTTCAGAGTGAGGGCTAGCTCCAAAGTGCCGGGAGAGTGGAGCACTTTTGTTCAGGAGACGACAATGACCCAGCGAGAAGGTAAGCAGGAGTCTTCTTATGACCCCCACATGCAAAGCAGGGGTCGTACTTTTCAGTGATATTTGATCAACCGTAGCAAGGAAACGACTGCACCGATCAATATGAAATATGGCAGGAATGTATATGTGTCCAACCTACACGGTTTTACGATAGACCCAATAACTCTGTTCTGGTGAGTTCTGGTGCACTGGAGCTTTGCGTACCTGCGGGGGTCATACTACCACTATGCAGTATTTAGTTATCTGATATATTCTTTAAAACATAGCAGAACAAATCCTATTTATTGTAAAGGATTGCCTTTTCAAAGAACGTTTTAAATGATTCTATCTGGTCATGTAAACTAATACATTTTGGCCCTGTCCCAATACTTGCACTCCTACCCTCATACTGCCCTTGTGCACTTTAAATGCATGTTTATGCCATTTTACATTATGTTACGTTATGTATGGTTTGAGTGCGTAGTGTATCCCACATTCTCCACATCCGCACTTTGCCCCGCCCATTTTGGGTACTATTTCCGCCCTTACACAAAGTCCGCATTTTTAYGGATTTCGGCGAACTGTATTACCCACGATTCATCGCTGTGTGTGATGTTTTGAATTAAAAGGCAGAAATCTGGMAATGTCCACTGAGCACCTTCCAGTTTAGTGGGGGCAGTAATGCACTTAAATTAGTYTGCCAACCACCAATAAAACCAAAAGAAGAAGATCTTATAGAAGTTAGTTATACTCAGATGTATAAAMCTCCTTCGCTTCATGCGCGTTCTTCTAAAAACAATTGCTTTTTGTAGTTGTACTATCATCTTTTAGCAATACAAATGCCAAAATRGTGACTGGTTGGATGTCGCAGTTACGACGCAGAGGCGTATGTCKATGACRTAATCCATACTGTCCCAATTCTCCATTTTTTTTGCACGCTTGTAACCTGCGCACTCCAACACTTCTGTGCACTTCGACTGAATCCACACTTCACATAGGGGCGTAGTGTGCGCACTGAGCATTGGGACTGGGCTTTTATGTCTTCTTTCATGACAGCTTGATTTTCTTTTAAAGATATAAAAAATATATAGCTCCAAGTGGAAAACCTTGTCACTGCCATCCTTGTGGCCAACAAGTGGTTTTTATTGGCTGGGATTAAACAGGACCACCTTTGAATGGACAGGAATTTATTCAGGATAATAAAACGTCCATGCTGAAACCGCACTTCTGTCTCCACTGACTGAAACTTRTCTCCTTTTTTATATTTTTTTTCCATCTTGTCTCCTTTGCCAAAATAGGCCTTCAGATGTTGATCCCGACCACCCAGGGAGTGGCTGGGAAGCCTGTGGCAGACAATTATCAGCTGCTGATGGCGATTGTGGGCTCTGTAACTGTTACCTGTGTGACCATCCTGCTGGCRCTGCTGGCTCTTTTCTTCATCAGGAAGATGCTGCTCAACCGTCGGCGCACGTTTACCTACCAGTCTGGATCGGTGAGGAGGCACCAGTGTCAACTTAGGGCTTTTTAATCACCGTTTTGGGAGAYTGACTGATGATTTTGACAAAAAAAATTGACTTTTCATACGCATTTTTACTGATTTTAAACRCTTCCATGTTTAGGGTGAGGAAACTATTCTGCAGTTTAACTCGGGAACTCTGACCCTCACAAGAAGACCCAAGCCCACTCCTGAACCTCTGACCTATCCAATCCTCGAGTGGGAGGACATAAAGTTTGAAGATGTTATTGGCGAGGGCAACTTTGGCCAGGTTTTTGACGTTTAAATGCATATTTTTACAGGACAAATTCTTTTACTATAGTTGTATATACACATTTTTTCTATTTATTTTTTTAATGAGGTAAAACAGTTAAGCTAAGCACAGTTTTGTGACAGGTCATCAAAGCCATGATCAAGAAGGATGGTGCCAAAATGAGTGCAGCCATCAAGATGCTAAAGGGTAACATGCAGTTTTAATATCTCTCACACATATGCACGCTCAAYACAAGAGCTCATGTGATGTTTTCCAGAAAACCTGCTTTGCTTGCACTTTTTTCACCCATGCGTTGCGCGCTGTTCTGCCTGCAGAGTTTGCTTCAGAGAACGACCACAGAGACTTTGCAGGAGAGCTCGAGGTGTTGTGCAAACTAGGCCAACATCCCAACATCATCAACTTGATCGGAGCCTGCGAGAACAGAGGTGGGTGTGCGACATCTAGTGGCGTTTRTGGGTCTCAACATGATTTGAAGTCAAAATGCTTCAAATATATGATGTGGGATA